GGGGGGGCCGTGGCACCCGGTTGCTGCTCACTGCACCCACTGGGTGCCAGGGAACAGGGAGGGGACCCAGACAGAGCTCGGGGCGTGGGTGAGCCCGTGCCTTCCTGCGATGAGAAGGTGCTGAAAGACAAACTCTCTTCCCATTCCCTCCCTCCGCTCCCTGCGGATGATGGCTCCGGCAGGGCTAGGTGAGGGAAAGCTGGCAGTCGGGAGGGAGCCCGAGAAGGGTCTGCAGCATCCTGGCACAGCCGGATGGGTCAGCGGGTGCCCACGGCCATCGGGACCATCGCGGCAGTGCCGAGGGAGCAACCGAGGAGGGGAGAGGGATGGACGTGCCACCCCGATGCTAGCAAGCCCCGAGGAGAGGGTCACGAGCAGCCCTTGCTGGGGCAGGGAAAAAAGCAGGGAGCGGGGGGGGATGCCAGAGGGACAGGAGGGAATTTCCCACCCTGCACTGGGGCAGCATCTCTGGGTGCTGCGCCCTCCCCACGCCCCGCTCACCCGGCTGCCCTTGGCTCCCGGCCATGGCAGGGCTGTTCCTCCTGTGCCGGGGAGCCCGAAGACCTCACAAAGCCTCCCCGGGGGCCAGCGCAGCCCTCGCAGAGTAGCCACACGGCTGGCAAGTTTTTCTGGGGCTTGGCCACCATCCCACCCCGTTCCCAGGAGCTGGCTCCGTGCCTGCCTCCCACGGCACAGCGGCTCCGGCCGGAGTCCCCCCGCTCTCTGCCTGTCCCAGCACGACCCATGGAGGGTCCCCCAGGGCAATCCAGGGGGGTCCGGGCTGGGCTTGAGATTTGCCAGCTCAGGCTTTGCTGGGAGAGAACAGCCCCCCCGAGGGGGGGCTCTGCCTTGGTGGCTTGGCACAGCCAGCCCCAGAGCTCCAATCTCCCTGGTTTTTCCCCTTAAATCAGAGGGCGAGCAGAGGGACCGCGAACACCCACGAGCCAAGCACTGGCCAGAAAGACGCCGCGGGAGGCCGGAAGTGCCCGAATTAGAAAACTTGGCATCCCTGTCCCGCTCGATGCTGGAGAATGGGGAGAGACACTGCGAGGACGCGCGCTGGAGGGACCACTGTCCCCGCCGTGTCCCTTGGCACCGTGGGGGGATGCGTGGCTGTGCGGGGCAGGGGGCTCCCGGGATGCTCCGGTAGTGGGGAGGGGGATGGACGGGGGTCCCGGTGAAAAAGGCTCAGTGGTACCCCAACAGCCCCTCTCTGCGCTGATGCTCTGGCTGAGGAGCCTGCCAGCCCTGTGCTGGTGCCCATGTCCCCTGCCCTGCCTGGGCTGGTTCCAGGAACCCCGGGGAAGGGCTCCGCAGCCCCCGGACCCACAAGCCACCTCTGGCTGGGAAAGCAGCCTGAAATCCAGCCTTTTTCTCATGCAACATGGGCTCAAAGTGCCCCCTCTCCAGCTTGCCCAGAGCCCCCTCCACATGCACACAGCCTTTCTTCCTCCTCCTCCTCCTCCCAGCCCCAGCACCGAGCCCAGCACGCACCTACCTGCCTCCACTGTGGCGCAGGTGAGGAAGATGAGGGCGCAGGCAGAGGAAGGCAGCCCCGTTTCCACCCCCCCCTCTTGCCCAGCACCGGGTGCGATGGCCGCGAGAGCTTTCGCTAATCTGCACCCGGTGCTTAAAAAAAAAAAAAAAAATTAAAAAAAAAAAAAAAAAAAAAAAAATTTAAAAAAAAAAAAGAAAAAAAAACCCCACGTCAAACCTTCAGGAGTCTGGAGGCTGCGGCGGAGCGGAGGGCACGGGAGGACACTCACTCCCACACGAGCAGCTTTCTGGGAATTAGGGCCACAGCCCAACTGCTCTGGCAGCCTGCGCTCCCCTCCAGCCCTGGCTGCCGGTACGGCGTGGCCTGGGCAGCCGCCCCACCGGTACGGCCCCGCTGCCGCAGGGTCGGACGCTGCTCTCGGCCCTAATCTCCCGCTTTCCCTCCAGGGAGGTGAGTAAGCATCGCTAATCCCGCTCGCTTCGCTGCTGGAGAGAGGCAAGCTGCCTCTCCCAGGCTGGGGGGCTGCATCCCGACACCCCCTGCCCTTCCTACCCACCCCCCCGCCAAGGGGAGGGCAGCACGGGTCACCCCTTCCCCGGGGTGGCTCTCGGGTGCTGCGCACCCTCAAGTTGAAGGCTGGGATGGGGCAAGGAGGTGGAGGCAGGTTGTCTTCGTTGGAAGGGACCGGGGGACATCGTAGCTGCCCGCAGCCAACCCACCTTCGCCGGTGTCCCCCGTGCCAGCGGCTTCGTGCCAGCCCCGCACGCGGCGGGGGGGACGCTCAGCG